AGGGCCAGATTCCACCTTGATCCCTCGTCGCCCCTCCCTCGCCGCCGCGCGGGCGGGACGCACCTTGCTGCCACTAGAGGGCGCAGCTGCAGCCCTCTGGAACGTGTCCGCCCTCCCCCTCAGAACTGTGGCTGGACCAGGCGTGCCCTCAGGGGAAGCCCTCAGACCCTCTGCTGGGCCACCCCAGGCTGCCGCATCAGCCCCAGCCTCGGTGCTCTACTCCGACTGCCTCGCCCTCCTTGCCTTGGCCTGACGGCTGAGCACCAGTTTCCTCACCCAGCCCCCGGCCCCAGGTGCACCACCTCCACGCCAGCGCCTTCGAGACCCGTCTTACTCCCCCGCCTGCCTCAGGCAACTGCACGCATCCCCAGGTGCTCAAGCGAAATCCACGGTTGTGCAGAACCCCCCCCTTCCCAGCTCCCCTCAAGTCCGGCAGTGGACGCTGGCCCCTCTGCCTCCTAAATCCGTCCGCTCCAGCTCCCCCTTGCTGCTGCCACCAACACCACCCAGTCTGGGCACCATACCTCCCTCGGGGAACCGTCTTCCAGCTCCCACTCTGGCTCCAATGGGCCGATGAAGGGATCCTTTCAAAACATGGCAAAGGCAAAACTACGGAGACAGTAAACGCGTCAGGGGCTTGGGGTGGGGGGAGGATGAAGAGGTGAGGCACAGAGGATTTTTAGGGCAGTAAAAATGCTTTGTGTGTTACTGCAGTGGCAGATACATGCCAGTATACATTTTTCCAAACCCACAGAATGTACATCACCAGGTGAGCCCTAATGTGGACTGTGGATTTGGGGTGACTATGATGTTAGTGTAGGTCCATCAGTTGTAACAAAAGTCCCACTCTGGGGTGTTGATCATGGGGGAGGCTGTGCACGGGGGGAGGGAGCGTGGCTGGGGGTAAATGGGAAATCTCAGTACCTCTGTCTCAATTCTGCTGTGAATCCAAAACTGTTCTAAAAAAATTGTCCTACAAACACATAAACAAAAAAAGTCATGGTACTGCTCTGCTTTGATCCCTGAGAGGACTCCCCATGTCACCCTGGGTCCCATCCTGAGTCAGGATCCCATCCTCACCGTTGTCACAAGGCCTTGTGTGACTGCATCTCTCACAACCCACACCCTTCTGCCCCAGGCCCACTAGCTGCTTTTCTGCTGCTTGATTATCATGAATTCATTTCTACCTCAGGGATGAGTGCAGGGTGGGGAGGCTGCCCTCCTCCCTCTACTGCCTGTCCACATTGCCTCTCAGAGTGTGGAAGCGGGGTAGGGGTAGTGTTGAGCCAAGTCTGGGGCCCTGGCCCCCAGGAGGTGCAGGGAAGCAGGATATGGCACCACAGGGTCCTGCCAGGCTCGTCCCACAGCCTCCCGCTTCACTGTCAGCTGCCTTTAGGATGCCTGTTCTCCCCCCTCCATCCTGTTGTACCTTTCCCAAAAGACCTGCCTGCCCCCTCCCACACGCTATTCTGAGCCCCTGAAGGCTTGAGGGTGGGATTCCAGCACAGACACCCTAGTTCATACTAGGCTGTGAGTGACTAATAGGCTTACATAGTTATGTTTTCTGAGGAGAGGGGTCAGCTGAGTCTGGAGCCTAGTCCTGCATGGCACCTTGCAGGTTTCTTAGCTGCTTGAATGTGGCCACAGTTCCAGTCCCGGGCCCACCTTCCCCCATCCTGACACTGAGTGTCCTCCTACAGGGGGTCAGCCACGCAGGGCCTGAGCTACAGCTTCACCCACCTGGACCGGTACCTGGACCTCCTCAGGGAGAACCGGCTCTTGCCAGGTAAGCCACCAGCCTCGCCCTTGTACTGCTGGCCTCACACCCTCCCCTTGGCCTGGCCCTTCTGTCCTCCTGGTTGCCCACTCAGGGCCTACCTCAGTGCGGGCCTGGTGGAGACAGGCAGGCGAGCAGTGGGACAGCCACCCTCACGTGCTGCAGGCTTTGAGCTGATGGGCAGCCCCTCCGGACGCTTCACTGACTTTGAGGACGAGCGGCAGGTGTTCGAGTGGAAGAACCTGGTTTCCCTCCTGGCCACGAGATACATCGGTGGGTGGGGCGCGTGCCCGGCGTGGGCAGGGCGGGCACTCCTCCCACGCCCACCCAGGCCGCCTCCTGGTCTCATCACGAACCCACTGAACCAGGGCCTCCTGATGGGGGGGGGGCGAGCTCGTAGGGAATCAGACGCTCCAGTCACATCCAAAGCCCCCACCATGGTTGCCCCTTCCTGGGGATCCCCATGAGCCCATGAACCTGCCCCAGGGGAGGGGCCCTCTCGCCACAGTAGGGACCCTCTGCAGGTAGGTACGGCCTCGAGCACGTTTCCAAGTGGAATTTCGAGACGTGGAACGAGCCGGACCACCACGACTTTGACAACGTGTCCATGACCTTGCAAGGTGGGCAGACCGGCCTCCTGGGGTCCTGCGGATCTGAGAGGGGGTGGCAGCCGCCCCTCTGGCGCGGGGGTGTGGACTCAGTGTCCCTCCCGCCCAGGCTTCTTGAACTACTACGACGCCTGCTCCGAGGGTCTGCGAGCCGCCAGCCCGGCCCTGCGCCTGGGCGGCCCCGGAGACTCCTTCCACCCGCTGCCGCGCTCCGCGCTCTCCTGGGGCCTCCTGGGGCACTGCCACAACGGCACCAATTTCTTCACCGGGGAGGTGGGCGTGAGGCTGGATTACATCGCCCTCCACAAGAAGGTCAAGCCCGGGATCCCCGCCCTTCCGTCCGCCCCCGCCCCCAACCCAGCGCCTACGCGCGGGTCCCCCGCACGCGGCAACCCCAGAATGCCCGCCTGCTGCCAGCAGCCCCGCCGCCCCTCCGCGGCGGTCTCGGGGGTTGCTCAGGCGGGGCCTCTGCGCAGGGCGCGGGCAGCTCCATCTACATCCTGGAGCAGGAGGCGGCGGTCGTGCGGCAGATACAGCGGCTCTTCCCCAAGTTCGCGGACACCCCCGTTTACAACGACGAGGCCGACCCGCTGGTGGGCTGGTCCCTGCCGCAGCCCTGGAGGGCCGACGTGACCTACGCTGCCATGGTCGTGAAGGTGGGCCTGCCGCCAGGCCCGCCCCCGGGGGAGGCCTTTCTCCCGGGTGGGAGGGGCGGGCAGGCGGCCCCCGCGGTCGCGTTCCCAGCCACCCCAATGCCCGCAGGTCATCGCACAGCACCAGAACCTGCTGGTGGCCAACACCAGCTCCTCCGTCCGCTACGCGCTCCTAAGCAACGACAACGCCTTCCTGAGTTACCACCCGCACCCCTTCTCTCAGCGCACGCTCACCGCGCGCTTCCAGGTCAACGACACGCACCCGCCGCACGTGCAGCTGCTGCGCAAGCCGGTGCTCACGGCGATGGCCCTGCTGGCCCTGCTGGGTGAGCCGCGCGCCGGGTTCCGTGTCACTTCCTGTGAGGGCGGGGCCGGGACGAGGCCTCAGGTGGACGGGGATGTCGTTCTAGGCCAGGAGTAGCTTGTGCAAAGGCCCGCGGAAGGATGTGCCTTGCTGGGGAGCCGGGAGCATGTTTCTTGTCCCTCCCCACCCTTCCCCAGCTCAGTGGGCCATAGAGGTTGTGGTGTGGCCGGGGACCTCCAGTGGAGGAGGGCAAGTGGTGGGAAGCGGGCCCTGGGAGGGTCGAGGGGCGACGACTCCGCGTGGTGACCCCTCTAACTCCCGTAGACGGCGAGCAGCTCTGGGCTGAGGTGTCGCGGGACGGGACGGTGCTGGACAGCAACCACACGGTGGGCGTCCTGGCCAGCACCCACCACCCCGTGGGCCCCGCCGACGCCTGGCGCGCCACGGTGCTGGTCTACGCGAGCGACGACACCCGCGCCCACGCCAACCGCAGCGTACCCTTGACTCTGAGCCTGCACGGAGTGCCCCCGGGCCCGGGTAAGCAGGGCTCCCAGAGAGGGGGCTCCAGCCCCTGGGGTGGGGGTAGCTCTGGCGGGGCGGGGCCTGGAGGAGGCGAGCCCGGCCCCAGCATCCCGCTCCGCAGAGGTCGTCTTTGTCCAGCTCTACATGGACAACTGGCTCTGCAGCCCCTACGCCGAGTGGCGGCGCCTGGGCAGGCCCGTCTACCCCTCTGCTGAGCAGTTCCGGCGCATGCGCGCGGCCGAGGTCCGCGGGGAGCGAGGGGTAAGGGGCGGGGCGGCTCCCGAGGTCCGAGGGCCCTGAGCCCCTGGCTCTGTCCCCAGGACCCGGCGGCCGTGATGCCGCTCCCTTTTCCCAGCAGCGGCCGCCTGACGCTGCGCCCTTTGCTGCCTCTGCCCTCGCTCTGGCTGGTGCACGTGTGCGCGCGCCCGGAGGAGCCGCCGGGGCAGGCAAGTGGCAGTTCCCTTCCCCGCCGCCGCCCCGGTCGCCCCCGCCCCCAACCAGTCTCGGTGCCTTCCCCCCCCCAGGTGACCGGGCTCCGTGCTCTCCCCTTGACCCGCGGGCAGCTGCTTTTGGTCTGGTCCGATGAGCGTGTGGGCTCCAAGTACGTGAGTGCGGTCACCACCCCTACCCCTACCCGCCCCCCAACACGCGTCCTTGGCCCCCAGATCCTCTGGGCTGTAGGGCCCATGTGGCCACTCTGGCCCTTTGGTCACCCCACGCGGACTGTGCTCTCTGCCGCCCATACAGCTGCCCCCACTGTTGGCACAAACGGCCCATGACTTTGTACCTCTGTGATGTAGGGTGGGGGCACCCACACAGGCCATTTGCCCCTGGCACGTGTTCCAGACCCCTCCTCTCAGCCAGTGTGGCTCTTTGTCATTGCAGGAAGAGGGTCCTGGGCCCCGGGGAGGGGCCAGGAAGGGGGCTGGAGGGGAGTAGGGCTCTGGGCGCCCCCTGCCTGCCAGCCCCCCTGGACCCCAGCCCTGGTCCTGCCTGACCTTCCCCAGGTGCCTGTGGACCTATGAGATCCAGTTCTCCCCGGAGGGTGTGGTGTACCTGCCCATCATCAGGAAGCCTTCAACCTTTAACCTCTTCGTGTTCAGCCCAGGTGTGCCTGCTGCCTCAGCACAGTCCCTGTGGGGAGGGGTCCAGGGCCTTCCGGCACCTGGAGTTTGGGGGGATCAGAGGGGTTCAGGTTCAAGAGCAGGCACGTACCTTTGTGTCCTCAGACACGGCTGTTGTCTCCGGCTACTACCGGGTTCGTGCTGTGGACTACTGGGCCCGACCAGGCCCTTTCTCGAGCCCCGTGTGGTACCTGGGGGTCCCTGCCCCGTGAGGGCCACTGCTGCCCTGCGACTGGACATGTGCTGACCGTAAGCCTGGGCGGCCAGAAGCCATGCTAGGCCAGACTGCCGTCAGCCGGTCATCCCCTCTGTTTGTCCCCTCCTGCCCCTCATTCACCCCCTTAAAGTGCATTTCCACACACAGTAATGGGGACAGCCTTCGTGGTGGGCACTGGGCAGACACGAGGCCTGGCTGGAGTGAGCCCATCCCCGCCTCGCCCCACCCCTGCCTGTGGGAGCCGGGATGGGACTCGGGTCAAGCACAGACAGGTGTGAGTTGCCACTGGGGTGCCCGCCCTGTGCGCCTGGGGTCTCTGGCGTCACTGCTGGGTGCAGCAGGCCCCATTCCCAGCCCCTGCGCCAGGAGGGCCCAGAGGGTTCCCACTTCCTGAGGCCCAGCCAGGCTGCCCCCTGCACCCTGCCTGGCCCAGGCTGTCCCCAGTGGCAGGGAAGACCGGCAGTGTCCACTCCTGCGGTCATCCGGGCTCCTTATCTGGGCCCAGGAGGAAACAGCACGCCCAGACGAGGGCGACTTGGGGACTGCGGATGGACATGTGGACAGGGGGCAGGGAAGCCACGAGGGGTGGTGTGGAGCCCTGGGGCTCCTCCCTAACCCCCCACGCCCACCCCAGGGCAGGTGGAGCCGACAGAGAACGGTATGAAGAGGCCACCTGGTGAGGCCACGGGGCGAGGAGCAGGGGTGCAGCCAGTCTGGAGTGATGCAAGCGGGTGTGGGGGCCCCGACCCACCCTCCTCTCTCTGCTGCCCTCCGAGCTGCCTGGGCTCAGGGATGGGTGAGGCAGGCCTGGCAGGGCACATGGAAGGCAAGGCCCAGTCACCCCCGGCTCCTGTCCGCATGGAAAGGGCGGGGCACCAGGGCCCACCAGCGGCCTCATCCTGGGCTGGGGATGTCAGTGTGGCATTCTCCACCCGAACCCCAAAGCCAGCACCTGTCCCCATTGCCCTTGGCCGCTGGGGAGGCTTCAGGGCTTGGTGCCTGGGGCCCCGTTGTTACCATACAAGGGGTGCTGGGGTGCCCGGTGGGCCCCTGGTCTCTGGGCGTTGTCTTCCTGCCTCGTCAGGAAGCTGTGACTGGTTGTGGCTCCATGACCAAGCACCACGGTGGGCAGGCGGCCCATACAGCAGAGGCTCATTCTCTCACATCCTGGAGGCCGCAGCCTGAGGGCAGGGGTTCCTCCTGAGGGCGCTCTCCTGGCCTTGCAGACGGCCACCTCCTCCCCGTGTCCTCACAGAGTCGTCCCTTTGTGTGTGTCTGTGTCCTGATCTCTTCTTATAAGGACACCAGCCATGTGGGATTCAGGCCCACCCGTAGGACCTCATTTGAATCACCTCTTTAAAGCTCCCTCTCCAAATACAGTCACAGTCTGAGGCACTGGGGGTGAGAACGTCAGTGTATGAATCGGAGGGATCCAGTTCAGTCGGTAACAAGCACCAGCCCTGTTTCTCTGCGGTGGTAGGAATGCATCACCCCAGCGTTAAAGCAGCCTCTTCCTTTTGGGATACAGGCTGCTGTGTATAAACAATAGGCCCTACTGTATAGCACAGGGAACTATATTCAATATCTTGTAATAAACCGTAATAGAAAAGAATATGGAAAGGAATATATATAGTGGGTTGGCCAAAAAGTTCATTTGGATTTTTCTGCCACATCTTATGGAAAAACCCGAACGAACTTTCTGGCCAACCCCGTGTACACATCTGTATAACTGAATCGCTTTGTGCTGCACCAGAAGCTAATGGAACTTTGTAAGTTACCTATTCTTCAATTAAAAAAATTTTTTAAAGCAGCCTTTTCTCTACCTGCTGGTTCGGTAGCCTGAGGACCCCCGATGGTCAGGGGCCATCTCAGCTCGCAGCTTACTGGGAGGGGTACTGGGTTCCCTGGTTCCTTCCTTGGACACTGCACACTCCACCGCACACCCCACTGAGCAGAGATCTCAGATGGGCCCCTCCTTTGGAGACAGGTGCGGCTCCAGGGCAGTCAGTGGGGATTTGGCACTGGCACCTGCATCTTGGCCAGGACAGCAAAGCCGCAGCTGTGTCTCCAGGGGTAAGTCACCTCCACTTTTATCGTGGCTTGTGTGTTGTCAAGCGGCCACCGGGTTGCCGGCATGCCCCCATCCTCTGACCGCGTTCTGGTCTTTGCTGGTTTGGGCTTGGGCTGGGAGCTGTGGTGGGAGTTCGAGAAGTCCACGTAATTGGCCCACGCACGTCCTCCGTCCCTGCTGTCGTGGCCACTTTGCACCTGGGCCCATGGAGTGGTCACGGATGGCAGAAAGAGGCTGACATCGACATGACCCATTGATGAGCCCCTGCTGTTGGGGACACTGCCTGGATCGGTGGAGCTCTCCTGCAGGACACGGCACCCACTCTGCCCCTCTCCCCAGACCTTTGTCCCCAAGTGTTCTGTCTTCATTGCTCTGAGTCTGGCCCACCGTCTGACCTGTCGGATGCTGCCTGCTTGAGCCAGACGTGCACCTTGGTTCTGCATGCCGGGGGACGCCGGTGCGTGTGCCCACGCGCCTGCAAACCGCATCCCTCACGCGGCTGGCAGGAAGCTCTTTGTGCAGCCCAGGGCGTGGGTTGAGGGAGAGGCAGCAAGCAGCTCAGCAGGAGCTGGAGGCTCGGGTCACGTGACTCGCTTTCAGATGCGCTTGGGCCCAGGCTCTGATATTTAAATTTGGGACAGAATGCTGTGTGCACAGTCTCCTCACTGGGCCCTTGGGTCACGTGGCCACTTGGTAAATGGAGTTAGACCCGCCCCAGAGCTCAGTGGCAGACCCGGAGCTGCTTTTCAAGTGGAGAGTTGTGTTTGGCGCAGGAGGAGATGGACTTGCTCCAGGATGCCAGGGCTCTGGGCTGGAGGCGTTTGCCACAGGTGTCTGCCACAGATGCTCCAGGCTGCGTGGGGTCTGACGGGCTACCCACCCAAGGGGCGAGTGGCCTGGGGCCCAGGAGATGGGTGAGAACCGCAGGTGCAGATGTGGCGTGGGCCGCTCCCCCACCCAGAGCCGCACTGCGCGCTGTGCCTCCTAGAAGTGGTCCTGCACACGCCCGCGTTGCCAGACCGTCGTACCCCCAAACTTCCCTGGACTCTCAGCAGGCTTACCTCTCACCCTGCGGGAGGCATGGGCTTTACAGAGGCCTCTAGGGCGCTTGTCATCTATTGGCCGCCCTGTCTAATCGGCATAATGTCATCAAGGGAACCAAGATCTCTGGACCGTGTTAAGATGGTGGGAGCGTTGGTGCCATCAGGCAGACTCTGAAGGTGTGCTGCCGTGCCTGCCATGTGCGGGAGCCCGCTGGTCTCCTTCCTCGAGGGGGACAGAAAAGCCAGCTGCGCTGCATACTGGCGCCACGGACTGTGTGATTTTGACCAGTAAAGGTACACGTCCAGACCTCAGCCGGTTGGTGTTGCCCTGGGTTATGCTGTGATCATCTGTCACTCAGCACCCATCTGGCAAGTGATATGGAGAACAGAGAAGGAATCCCCACCCTCACATCTCCCCAGTTCCTGATGTTGGACCTAATCCCCAGAAACATGGTGCTATTTTTGGTTTAGCGTGGAGGGCAGGCCTGGGGGCTTCCACGATAGCCCCCCATGCAGCAGCCGGGGGCCAGCGTGGGGCTGTGGCTGCTCGCTGAGTATGAACGGCGCACTCTACATTCTGCGGAGATGGAAACACCTACAGAAAGGGTCTGCAAACCCGTGGGCTCACAGACTCAGGCCCATGCCCCAAGTGACCAGTGATGGTGGCTTTCTGGTGCGTGAGGATTGGCCTCACTTCAGAGCCATCATCTAGGAATCCCCTCCATAGGGCAGTCATTGAGGGTGCCGCAGGTGCCCCTTACGTAACTGGGGCCATAGGCTAGTGACTGTATAGGCAGTTCTTTGTCAGGAGGACCAGCCTCCCCTCCATCAGGGGCTCTGGGTCCTGCACATGAGGCCCTATAGCCTCACTATGACAAGGGGCTTCAGAGACCTGCCAATGGACCTACAATTTTCTGCCTATGTGTGCCTCAAGCAGCACTTCAGAAGCTGCCCACCTGTTTCATTTCTCGAGACCCTGCATGTAATCGGTCATCTCATGTTTGCCAAGTCCCCTGAGGGTCCATGGCTGCAAACACTTGCATGTGTGAGTCACCTGGGGTCTTGTTAAGACGTGGGTCTGGGGCTTCCCTGGTGGCGCAGTGGTTGAGAGTCCGCCTGCCGATGCAGGGGACGC